CATGAAAAATACATCATTCACAATGCCAATTCTACCTAGCAAGGGGAAGAAAATCACTGCCAGGCATACTTGTCATGGAACTGAGAGAAAGATGTGTATGTATAACGTGCAATGTCAAGATCTCCTCTCCTGCTAAAACCCACAGAACCTTCCACGCTGGTGGTGAGGCCACAACACAGTTTAGAAGAGTTCCTGGATTAATGCCAAATCACCCATTGACGATCTCATACCTACAAAGTTTTTTCTACCAAGATATAAAATTCTTTCCATTAAACACTTTAAAATTCTATCTTTATATAACTAAGTTGAAACCTGACAAAATAAACTAAACTAAACGATGTTATCAATACTCCTGGGAGTATAAATAAACTACATAGAACTAATCTAATCTGTAACGTTTAGCAGGTAGGTGCCGGCAAAATCAGAAAAGTGACTCCATAGCAATTCAGGGCTTAAAAACAAAAGTTCTAAAAATGATTTATGTAACACCTGAAATGCACTTTTCTAAAAGCAGGAATCAACTGTTTAATATGTTTTCTCATAAAACCTAAAGGCTAGGTAAGACTTGAGTTCTATTTTTGCAAAGCCTGAGCATTTGCAGGAAAAGTAACAATGCTGAGACTCTTTTTCTCTATACCCCACCTTTATTTGAAAGGATTTTAAGCAGACTGAATACTGTCATCTTTGAATACTTTTATCTATGAAGTGACGTTCTGGCTCTGTCTAAGGCAAAGCCTCAGTTTCCAAACTTAAATATCTGAGGGGGCCACAGACACCCCCCTTTTGTTCTTAAACAGAAAGCTTCTTTTACTTTTCAAGTTCATGTTCTGCCATTCTACCAGCACAGTCTAAATATCAGTCTGCTTCTTAGTGAAGATCTTAGGTATTGTACTGATGATTTATTTTGATGCTGCTCTTTCAGTGTGAAATGACAAAGAACCATTCTTCTGGTAAAGAGATAGAAGACAGGCAGATTAATCAGCTGAGCTGGTCAGGTAAAGCCACAAAATTAAAAGTGCCCAGTTTTGGCCTCAGTGCCACACCGATGAAATCTTGTCATACTTCTGGACATCCTGATGTATATATACTTCACATACACCAGGTTTTGAATCAAATGACTAGAATTACATAGTCACTGGGAGTTACTAGACAGACCTCACGAGATCATTCTTATGCAATATGAACATTTTAAAAGGAGAGAACTGAGCCATAGAGGCAGAGCCTATGAGTGTGTCCTTGTGTTCCTTTGCCTTTCTGGGACTTGGTTTCCTCATCCCTAAACAGACCAGACTGACACTCGGAACCTCACATAAATGACTCAGGGTCCTCCCAGATCTGAATGCTGCTGAGGCCTTGTCTTTCTAGAAAGATCCTTTCTACATACCTGAGAGAGAAGGAAGCCCTATCTTAAGAAGCATATGCAAACTGAACTCATAATCCCACAAATCTGCACCTTCAACACGCTCATCCAGAAAAGAAGTTTTCACTTACGAGTACTCACCACTAGATGAGTGACCCTCCAAGGCTTTTTTTTTTTCCTTTTTTTGTCTTTTTTCATGTCTGGCAACGGATCGCAACCCTCGGTGTCGCGCCCGCACCTCGCTCAGCCAGTGAGCGGGAACTGGTCTGTATGTGGGATCCGAACCCTCGGCGGGAGCGCGCCCAAGCGGTGCACTGTGGCAGTGCGCCACCGGGCCGGCCCCCTCCAAGGCTTTTATATTTTAGTTTGATTTACCCCAAATATAAAATTTTTACACACTTTTCCAAACTACGTTAAACTGTTTGAACTTCTTACTATGTATATGAGTTAGGTTTTTGCTAACAAAAATAAAGCTAGTAAATATAACAACAACAAAAAGGCCAAGGAAACAAAATTCCAATGGTCCTTAAAAAATAGTAGGCACCGAGAAGACAAGGGTTTTGCACTATATTTCTTTATATAACCCCAGGTAATTAGGCCAGTGGGGTTTTTTTGTTTGTTTGCTTTTTGTACATATAATCGACACTACAATGTTGGAATAAATGAATAAAATCTATTTTAATATAGTACTTTAAGCCTGGTGTTTCAATGGTCCAAATACTCTTAAATGGAATTATATAAGGCAGTAAAGAACTGCTGATTAATTTTTAGTTGTCTGAAAGAACAAGAGAGAACACCGTCCTTGCTCTGAGCAATTCGGTTCTGTTCAGATCGCAGAGAACAGTAGGTGTGAATGTATCTCAGTGCAAGTCTCTTCCAAGCACATTTCGAGTGTGTGACCCTCTATAAGCAGATAAGCCTCCACCCCGGCTGCACACCGCATCGCACACTCATTCCTTGGCAGGATCAAAGAATGTCCCGCAGGAGACATGAAAAGTGTAACTCTGTGGGAAGGCAGGGCAACACAAAAAATAACTCTCAGTGTCTAGCGTGGGTCTGGGGGCCAGGCATTGGCTGTGGGACTGGAACGCCACACAAGCCATTTCAGACCTCTGTGTGTGAGTAACCGTGAGCAGGTGTGAGGGCGGGCGTGAGCATGTCCGAGAACGAGTGTGTGCATGTGTGAGCATGTGTGCAGCTGTAGTGCAGAGCCACCATGTACACAGCAGCAGCAAAGTCCAGAAAAGAACACGGTATGGGCACTGGGGAACCTCAGATGCTGCTGGCTCAGGTTTTATCTACGGGACACTGAAAAGCCCAGCCACCAGGCCCAGTCGATCAAGATGTCTGGTCTTCTGTAGACAAAATATCACTGTCAGGTAATCAAGTGATTTTTTTCACCCAATGAGCCGATGTTTTGGTGTTATAGATAAGGCTCCAGTATAACAATCTGTCCAAGAAGAAGAAAACTTTGCTTACCCTGCAAGCATTCAACCAAAGCTCAAAAGTCCCTAGGATCCCATAATTTCCAGTTGGTTACCAGCCCCCCCCCCCCCCCCCCCCCCCTCCCCTTGCCCGGGCAGTGCGCAGACTCCAGGCCACCAGCCGTCCCTCCCAGCATCCTGCTCATTCCTGCCCAGCCGCTGTCCCCTCCTCCCGCTCCCCCCCTCCTTTCTTGTTGTCAGTGCCCCCCCCCCCCGACTCCCATCAGCCTCATGTGATTCAGAGAACGTCACTGCCAGGGGATTTTTCTCTGGCTCTGCTCTGTGGGTGTGTGAAAACATGTTTAAAGGTGGGAGGTAGGTTGGACAACTTCATTTCTACGTCTGGATCTTTTAGCTAACTTAAAATCACCACTTAACCCTCTGGTTTTTTTCTCAGTTGGCATCCCTTTGGCAAATGAAAAAAAAAATTATCACCTGTTATGATTAATCTCCCCTTTAACTCACTTCCAAACAAGAGCCCTTTTCAAATATCAGGACGTACCAACTGTTTTGATAATTAGCCAATAGGAGCTGCTAATCCACCACCAGAAAGGGCGAATGGAAAGTTGGAGAACAAGTTAAAACGACTTTGGCTGCACTGCCTGTGTGCCAGGGTTTCAAAAGCCAATGGGGGGAGTGGGGCAGAAGACATCTCTTGTACGCTAGGCCTCTAACTGCTGGGCAGGAAGGCAGAGAAATCTGGACCACACCTTCAGAGAGAAGCATTTCCCACCTGCCCTTTACCACCATCCCCTTCCAGGTGGACCACCCCTCCTCTAAAGGTGGTGTGCCTTTGCCTGACAGCAGGTGCAAGATGCCTGGGGCCCTACCCTGACCACAAAATGCCAGGCTGATTGAGGCCAGATTTTGCATAGACATTTGCCTCCAGATCTTTAGCAGAAAGCTCGGTTTCAGGAAAAGAACTACCTGGTCTTCGAAAATTCAGCCTGTGATTTCCAAATTGGGAATCAGAGAGAAAATATGCTTTGGAGTCCAAAATACCTCAGTGAAGGAAGTACAGTAGAAATATAAAGCTCTCAGTGGTGGTGAAGAAAGTTATTGAGGTACACTGAATAGTATTTGATATTCAATATGAAATTGGAAGGCTGCCTACTATAATAAAATGCAGACTTTCCTCCAAAGTAGCACAACGCTGAACTAGGAAATTCCCCATAGTCTCTGGAAAAGCTAAGAGAAAGTCCAGACCACTTCAGAAGTGCTAGCTTCAACTCTTATGTCTTCCGTAAGATACTCTGATCCTCCTAAGAGCAAAAACAGCCTACAGCTGAGATTAACCATGTCATAGAAATAAACTCCCGTCTATTGCCATAGCCAGAACCAGATGTCAGTATGATGAACCAAGACAAATGAAAACCTACCTGAAACTACCTGTACCAGCCAACAAGCATATCCATTAGGAGGTATCTACCCACATACCACCCAATTCAATCTAATATAACATCCTGATACTAAAGAAACCGTCTGCTTAGCACAGAGCATGGTTTTCATTTTAATTCATCCATCGAACTGCCCCTTCGTTACGCTGACCACACTAATTTTGCAATGTCCTGACCTGACTTACTGAGGCTCAGTGGTTCCTCACCCAATAAACCGGCCACAACCACATCTACAGGGTTCAGGGCCCTGTCAAAGAATCACATCACTCGTTTCCCTGGACCATCAGCAGAGGCTGAGTTAATTTGATGACATCTTTGTTGGTTTTCCTAGGCCTGAATGAATCACAGAATTAAGTGCTTCACCTGATAAAACAAAAGCTAACTCAGCAGCTCTGTTCGCTATCTTTGGGGATTAATCAGGAAGTTTTTGGTGACACTCATGAATATTACCTTCCCAAGAAAAGTAATGACCTACAGAAAGTGCTTTGAAAACTTGTTTTTCAAGATGTACATGGATACAGCAGTAGAAGGGACTCGGATTCACTGTGCAAGATACAAGCGCATGGTCAGTGCCTCCTCCGCGCACTTTTCTGGTCTCCCAGCAGACACACCTGGAGAGAATTATTCGTTGTGACTGCACCAGGGTCCTGGTCAAAGTCTTCAGGACTCCGCAGAAAATGAGAAAAACGGGACACATAGGGCATCAAAGGTCTGCTGAAAGTAGCATGAGTTCTAGAAAAATCTCAAGGCAACACTTACCACTCTGGGCTTTTGCTGGTCCAGGGTATGCAGTAAGGCTGAGTTGGGGTCTAGAGTGCGCTCAGGGTCACTGGAGATGTCCTCCTCCGAGTCCTCATAGGATGAGAAGCCCGTGGAGGAAGCCGAGGAAGAGGACAGTTTCCTTAGGGGCAGGTTGCCCCGAGGGCTTCCCTGCACCTCCTCCAAGCCCCCATCCTCCTGGGCGCCCATGTCTGTAATGATCACGGCAGGTATGTTGCTGGGGCTGCAGGCCTCTCTCGGAGAAGGCTTGTCGTGAGCCGGGGGCAGAAGCTCCAGGGTGGGGCCGGGGTCTCTGTCCTTCCTCTGGCTTTCCCAAGTCCCCTCCGCTTGTACCCCTGTGCCACACGTCCACACCAGACCGGCTTCCACCATGGAGTCCAGCCAAACCCTGGAGCTCCCAGACTGCACACCCACCCTGTCCCCAGGAAGGCACTGAGGTTCTTTCATGTCTTTTGCTGCATCCCAACAGGGCAAAGGCTCCAGCATTCTGCCAGAAGGAATTCTCACCTCCACCTCCCTGGTCCCGGGCTGTGCTAGGCCCCCAAGCAAGCCCAGCGTTGGAGATCTTTCCTCTGCTCTGTCGGAGGGCTGCCGAGGCCCCACCACCACTGGGGCCCCACCTGGGGCCTCCCTGGGGCCTACGGAGCCCAGGTCTCCAGACGGCCTGGACCAGTGCAGGGCATCGGAGGGCTCCGAGTTTTCTGCATTCACAGTCTTCTCCTCTGGCCTTTCGCCCACTTCAGACGCCCAGAAGCCGGGCATGCCACAGGGCAGATTTCCTTTCCCCATCTTCCCTGGGGACTCTCCACCGTGGGGCTGTCCCCTCTCGGGGGCTGGGCTTGTCCCACTGCCCAGAAACTGCCCCTGCCTCTCTACAGAGTCCACCCGGAGGTGCGGGTCCTCAAGGTCGATGGCCCTCTCAGACCGCTCAAGTGCAGGACGCTGTGGGCGGTGTGGCCCAGTGGATGTGGCTCTGGGTGCCACTTCTGTGGCCATCACTAAGTTCTCTCCGACCAGCCCCAACGAGGGGGCTTGGCAGCTCTGAGTTCCCGAAAGAGCAGAGACCCTCTTGTCAATTTCCATAGCTACGGGTGAGCCGTAGTGGGGACTGGCAGGGACGCCGTCCTCGATCCTCACCGAAGCGGCTGGACCTTGAGCCCCAGATCCCGTCGGGGCGGACCGGCTGGGGAGAGGTGCCACTCTGTCCTTGTCCTTGGAGGGGTGTAGGCTGGGCCCTCTCCTCCCAGAATCGGCCTCTGAAGTCTCTGGACATTGCTCCCCCCAGGACTTTGTCCTCCGTTCGTCGCTCGGGGCGCACTGGGCCAGGCCCCTTCCAGGGGGCTGGCTGCTGCTGCGCGAGGGGCACGGAGAGGGCGAGCGAGCCCTGCCCGGACGCGGGCTGCGGGGCGCCTGCACGGCCGAGCTCTGCGCCTGGATGTGCGCCTCGAACATGCCCACTTTCTGATTCACCTGCACGTTCTGCAACTCGCGCTGCAGGATCCGCAGCTTCCTCTTGGTCTCCTCCGGCCCCGGCGGGGACAACGTACCGGCGGCCACCACCTGCTGCCCGTCCCCGCGCAGGCGGCCCGCCCAGCTCGGGCTGCCCACGCTGCCTCCGCTGCTGTCGCCGCTGCCGCTGCTACTACTGTTCAGCCTCCGCCGGCCGCTCCGCCAGCCCCCGGGGCTCCGGGGCTTCTCGGGCGACAGCAGCTCGGCGGGGGGGGAGAGGAACGAGGCGCC